TCGGGCATTGGAACAGGCTGCCCAGGGAGGGGGGGGAGTCACCATCCCTGGCTGTGTTTAAGGGCCGTTTAGATGCAGTGCTGAGGGACATGGTGTAGGGGAGGACTTTGTAGAGTAGGGGAGATGGTTGGACTCGATGATCCCAAGGGTCTCTTCCAACCTCAATGATTCTATGACTCTATGATTCTCTCCCATGCCCGTGGGTCCCACCACTCCCAGCAGGCACGGTGCTGGTGCTGACCTGTCCCTTCCCTGTCCCCATGCCCACACCGTCTCTGAGGCTCATCCCGCTCCTCGGGCAGGCAGGTGAAGCTGCTCTTTCCTTCCAGAAGAAGCGGTGAACGAGGTGAAGCGCCAGGCCATGTCGGAGGTGCAGAAGGCAGTGGCGGAGGCCGAGCAGAAGGCCTTTGAGATGATCGCCTCCGAGAGGGCTCGGATGGAGCAGACCATTGCAGATGCCAAGCGCCAGGCCACCGAGGATGCTTTCTTAGTGATAAACGAACAGGAGGAGTCCACAGAGGTGAGGTGCCAGGGGACATCCTGGGAAGGGACTTCCAAAGATTCCAGGTCCTGCCTGGCAGTGACTCGGAGCCTGTCCTTGTCCCTTTTCCCTTTTCAAAGTCTTTCTCCAATCAATAACTAACAGGACACATTGATACCCTTAAAAAACCCTCTTTTGCTTTAAATTTTGCTGGTGAGGGAATCAGCCTAATTAAGTTCCTAAACCTCGGAACACCTAATGAGGCATTTGCAGGTTGGAAAAGAAGGGGTGACTCTTGGATTGCCATAGCCAGCAGCAGCTCCTGAACGGGTGTCTCCTAGAGGGTTTCTTTCTACTCCTCAGTCGTTAATTACCCTGGGTGTTCCTTAGCTGGCATCTCACTTCATTAAGCTTTGTGGATCTCTCTGGAGACCCACAGGAGAACCGCACGGGCGATTCCTGTGCCTCCACCTCCCATCCAGGTGCCATTTACTTCTGGTTTGAATTTCTCTGCAAGAGCAGAGGCTTTATTTCAGCCCCCCCCCCAAACCAAACACCTGCTGGGAAGGTGGAGCTGATGCTCGCGGGGACCGGTCCTTCCCTCCTCCCGTGGGGTTTGGGTTCACCCAGTGACCGGGGCTCGGGAGGGTCTGGTTCTGGGGTCCCCACGCAGGGCAGGCCCCGCGTTGGGTGGTGGTACAGAGAGTGTGTCTGTGCTATTTCCTGCTGAAATGGCTGAAGGAGGAACGCACCAGTCAGTAAACACACGATGGGAGTGGGTGGAACGGCTCGGGGAGCCATGGAAGGAATGAGACAAGTGATGATTTCTCTGTAGGGGATACCAGAGGAGTGTCCTCCTCCTCCTCCGGACGTCCCAGGGAGCAATGTGGGACCCCGGGAGGCACCGAGCACCCCCCATCTCCCCAGCACCCAGAGGTGTCTCAAAAGGACAGGTTGAAAAGCTGTTGCCTATTCCAGCACCGTGTAACCTTTGAAATAGGGTTTGAAAACACCACCTGGAGTACAAACAGCTGTGAAGCAGTGACCCAGTTTTCCAAGAGTTACTGCAGGCTTTGGGTGGGGGTTTATTTTGGTCATGAGTCCTTCTCAGGAGACTGAGGAGCCTTGGGGACGTGCTGGCTCTAGAGCAGCTCACTCCTAACCAGCTCACTTGGGGGCTTCGCTGCCAGCCCGTAAATCATCGCTGGGAGCTGGTGGCTCCGGTGCAGACCCCTGGGAGCGGGGAATCTCACTGCTCTTCCCCACGACAGGGCTTCCCCCCACGACAGATCACCCACCACCTCCCTTTCCTGCTTTGGAGGCTTTTTCAGGTGTGGTGGCAGGAGCGGTGGCCGTCGGAAGGTGCCCCCCTGGGCAGGGTGAGAGATGAGCAGGCTCTGGCAGAGGCTGCCTTCCCCCAGCTGAACGTGCTCTCCCCAGTATGCCGTGGCTAATGCACCAGTCCAGCTGGGGGAAGGCTAAATCCCCCCACTCCCCTCCTCGGAGCAGCTGCAGCCACAGCTCCTGGCGCTGGCCCTTGTCCCCTCTCTCCGGAGGCAGCGGTGACACCCCTTGAGCCACCGGCTGACGCCTCTCCCCCCGGCCAGAGAGGGGTCTGCTCCACTTCCAGATGGGAGCCTGGGCTCTGGCAGTGCTTCCACCTGGCTGAGAAGCTTTCAAACCAGCTTCTCCTTTTCCAAATTAGCCCCCTCCCACCTCCTGTGCCGCCAGGGAGGGCACAGAGCAAATGGTGCCGGTGCCGCTCGCCCAGATCCCTGTGGAGAGCACTTGGCTGGGAGCGACACCCAAATAGAGCTGCTTAAAACAGGAAATAAAAAAAAAAAAAGGCCAAATAGCAGCATCTGCAGCGTGTTTTTCAGGCCCTGCCTACTGTTTCCTCTCCGCGTTTGGGTGGATTCAGGGGAGGGGATGTGAGCGACGCAGCCTGGCAGGGGGTTTGGGGCAGAGCAGAGGAGCAGGGGTTGGTACCTCGGCACAGAGCAGGCAGTAACGGGTCACTCGGTTTAATCTGAGTAAATCTGGGCCAGAGGGGGCTGGACGGTCCCCTCCGGAGCCCCTGAGTCACCACCACCCCCCAGCTCTTGGAAACTTACTTCAACCCGTTTTGAAGTGTGGTGTCTTTGGTCTTGCAGAGCTGCTGGAACTGCGGTCGCAAAGCCAGCGAGACCTGCAGCGGCTGCAACATCGCCCGGTACTGCGGCTCCTTCTGCCAGCACAAGGATTGGGAGAGGCACCACCGCATCTGCGGGCAGGGCCTGCACGGCCAGAGCAAGCCCCTGGCTCTGCCCACGGGCCGATCGGCCACCGCCAAGAGCCTGGACGGCATCCCCAGCCCGGCCCTCGAGAAGACCTCGGCCACCACCTCCCGCTCCTCCACCCCGGCATCCGTGACAGCCATAGAAACGAACGGGCTCTAAAGGGGAGAGTTCATTTCACTCCATTTGATTGGTTTCTCCTGGTGGTGGGGGGGAAAGGGGGGGGGGGGGTTTAAGCCAAAAAACAACCCCCCCCCCCCCAACCCCACAGGGACTTGTCTCACTTGACACATTGGACCCATCGCGCCACCTCCTCGGGCTTTGCCATCTCATTCTGCCTTTTTCCTTTGGTGGCTGGTGGAGAACTGGTGTGGCCCTTGCCCGCAGCCCCTCTCCGTGCCGGGGGCCACCAGAGCATCACTGGGGACCTGCAGGAGGCCGGGGGTGGGGGGGGGACCTGGACTGGCCGGAGAGCGCTGCTGGCACACGTAGGGGATGCTGAGCCCCCTCCTCACGGATCAAACTTCCTTTCCTGAGACTCCTGAGCCCTCTCCTCCTTCACCTGCCTTGCTCCCATAACGTCCATCTGGTTTTTCCCTGCTCCTGGCCACCGGTGTCTCCCACGTGCCTGTGTCCCAGCAGGATCATCCCATCCTCCAGTGCAACAGCCAGAGGGACCCCCCAGGTCTCTGCTCCCCCCGGGGGGTGGGTGGGTGGGTGGTGGTTGCAGAGTTGGGAGGAGAAGATTCCTCTGCTCTAAACCAAACGTGGGTTCCAGGGAAGTACAGATGGGCCCTTCCTTGTGGCCTGGGTTGAACCCCGATCCGTGACGGGACGGAGAGGTGTGTGTCACCCCGGGTGGGACCTTTGCCCATCCAGAAAGGCTGCAGGTGGTTATTGCCCTTCCCCCCGGGGTACCGGTGCTTTGCTGTGCAGAAAGGGGGTGGGTGGGTGGTTGTCCCTGTGTGGAAGCGGTTGGGTTGAGAGTTCCTGCCGTTGTTTTTAACCACAGAGACCCCCCCGCGATGGCCATGAGTTATTTACAGCCTGTAGAAACCCCCCCCGCCTCCATGCTCCTCTCCCCAGAGATGCCCAGGGCTGCGTGGCCACCACCTCCTCCTCCTCCAGCCATCGGAGACCGTCCCAAAAATGCTGTCTGGGAGAGGGAGGTCCCTCAGGGATGCCCCGGGGACATCAGGGCTCAGAGAGTCCCTGCTGCAGCGTGGAAGGAGGGGGTTGGGGGCAGCGCAGACCCCACCAGCGCCCCATGGCAGGGCTGCTCCGGGGGGCTCCGTGGAGAGGTCGGAATCACAGCCTGAGGGAGCAGCAATTTCCCACCCTGAGCACCGACGGGCTCTGGAAAAACAGCTCTTTTTGGGAAAGCCGTGTAGCCGTGACGGGTTTTGTGCCGGAGCCCAATGAGGCGAGTAATTCCCCAATTACTCCTGATGGCTTTTGCAAGGGGAGGCAAATAATAGGCCTGGAATGAATCCTCACTGGGGCTGCAGCACCCGGGGACCCGGCTCTGTCCCGGGGGGGAGAGCACTGCGGGAGCTGCCAACATGGGCCAGGGGGGGTGACCCCATCTCTGCCAGGTTCTTTTATACAAAAAAAAAAGAAAAAAGAAAAAGCCACGAAGTCCAAAAGTTCAGAGAGCTGGGGAGCGTCCCCCGGGAGCTGGGGATGCGGCTGCAGGGAGCTGAGGGACGAATTCAGCCCCAAATGGGGGTGACACCGGAGCCACCCTGTGCCCTGCAGCAGCAGCCGGGTCCCCGCAGCCCGGGGAGGGTGCCACCAGCCTGGGGGTGCTCACCGGAGGCAGAGGGGTGGCCCCCAACTGCCACAGCCCCAGCACAACAGGCCGGAGTCTGCATCACGGAGGAGGAGGAGGAGGAGGATGCGTGATGTCCCCGGAGCTGGCAGCGGGGACCCACTGCCCCGTGGTGGGACAGGGGCAGGAGAGCAGGGCAGGGCCGGGAGAAACCGCTTGTAAATAGATCGTCTTCCATAATTCTCATGCAACTTGGCTGGCCGTGTATTCAAATTAACCCCAGCGTACATGGGTGAAATACTAACAGTGGTGGATAGAACGATTGGGTCTTTTTGGGGTTTGCTTTTTTTTTTTTGTTTCTTAAACCTGGAATGATAAATGTGAAACTGGGAACGCGGGAAGACTTTTGGTTGAGGTTTCTGATTTTTTTTATTTTTTTTTTTTTTGACATTGAACTCTGTAATAGAAATTTGTTACTTCATTCCTGTTCATAACTTATTTAATGTACTGTATAAAGGAACCCAAACTGTTACAGATGGATTTAGTTTGTTCTACTCCAAAGTAGTCAATAAAAGGACTATATTCATGGTACAGCTCCCCCCTCCTCCCAGAAACAACTGCCCCCCCTGGGGGGATGGTGATGTCCTCGGGGAGTTCTTTGGGTTCATGGTTAAAGCTGGTCTGCTCTGAGCTTTTTATATGATTATTTATATTATTTTATATTTATAGTATTTTTCATTTGAGCAGCGAACAGCCTGCGAGGTGCTGTCACTGCTGGTTGGCAGCACCGTCCCCGTGTCCCCACAGCCACCAGAGGATGCCCCCCGGGCACCATTCACTGAAATCTGAGGATTTCAGTCTCAAAAGCACTATTCTGGTTGTTAAGAAATCCCAAACTGGAGATCAACCCCTTCCCCCCCCACCCCCGCACTGGGAGGCCACTGGTGTCCCCTGCAGCCAGGCGAGGTGGCAGTTTGAGACTCCTGGAGCCCCAAAGCTGGTGCCCTTCAGCTCTGCCCATCTCTGTCCCTGCACAGCTCCTGCTTCCCCGTCCCCTCCTGTGTGGCTCCTGGCG